CAAAGATTTAGTAAGTGGGAGAGGAGGGATTCAAAACAAGATCTTTCAAACTTCAAAGCCTGTGTTCTTAAACACTGCACTCATAGTCCCCCTGGAATCTTCTCGGTGTTTTTCAATGTGTGGTCCCTGGAGGAGAAGCAAGATGGTGGAATAGGTAAATGCCTGTACTTACTGCCTCCCATAACCACATCAAAATAGCAACTAAAATACAGAACAACCATCATCCAGAACCACTGGAAAGCTGGCTGGATAGAAGTACTGCAACTAGAGAAGTAAAGAAGAAAGCACACTGAGACTGGTAAGAGGTGCGGAGGCATGGAACAGACTGGTCCGGCACCCATGTGGGCGGCTTTTATAACGGGGAGGGAGATCACCTCTGTGGAGGCAGGCTGGCGGAGCAAGGAGTCCCAGCCCCACACCAGAAGCCCAGCCCAGGGTCCCAGAGCTGGGAAAACAAGCCCCTACAGGCAATAAGCACTATTGGCTGTAAAAACCAGTGTTGATTGGGGCTCAGTGACACACAGGCTGCTGGAGACCCATTTGCTCCTCTTAAAAGGATGGCCCCATGAACTGAATTTACAAGCTCCTGCTTCCTCTGAGCTCCAGTGCCAGGCAAGGTTCTGGGGGACCCAGACACATACTAGGAGAAACTGACTGTCTGGCCTCAGGGCAGGAACTCAGGGGCAGCTTTCTTCCAGATGGAGGTGCTCACAGCAGTCATTGTTCCTGTGCTGGGACCTCCCCAGTACAGAGCTGACTGGCAGCCATTTCTGTTTGCTCCACCCTGGTGATTCCCTGAGACCCCACCCCACCCAATTTACAACATCACCCAAGTTGTGGGCAATAGCTTTTGCAGATGAATGGCCTATCCTTTCTCAGGCTAGAACTCTGTCAAACAAGCTGCAGCTGGGTCATGGAGCCCCAAACCTATCAATCAAAGGCCTAAGACCTGGCACTAGCACCAGCCTGCCTTGCTTCACAGCTGGGCTCGTCTGGGCACTTCCAAACCTGATACAAAATGGAGGAACCTGCAGGTCTCTCTGTAGCTCCTGCTGGGTGGCCCCTGGCAGTGGCTGACTTTGCACCTCCTTGGAGACCCAAGAGCCAGTGTACCCAGTGGTCAGTGTGAGACCATACCAGATGACAACTCTGCACATCCATAAGTGACAA